TTCCCACCTGGGCCTCGGTACATCATGCTAACTGCATTTGTATTTCAAATTCCAAATTGAATACGTACATCAATTGGTTGCATTTCACATGCCATGTTTAGGTTAACCGAGCCTACTCGAATTACATCTTGCATGTGTTGCATTAGTCAACTTGACATGAACTAGGACATGCATGTTTGCTAACTAGCTTGTGTTTTTGGCACGGAGTACGATGTAAGTATTTTCGCTTTAGCATATTGCATGCGTGTGAATGTTGCCATGATAATGTGCTTACCATGTGGCTAAGTGCTTATATGAGATAAACTGTTTGAATGCCTTGTGGGTGAAGGTTGGATTGCTTAAGTTGGAGAAACTCGTTGAAATCCGCATTTTAGCCTACTTGCGAGTAGCAAATTCCAAGACATTTTCCAAAAACAAACGGATATGCAATGTTTCTTTCCGAATTAGGCAATCTAGTCTATACTTGTTTGCTGTGCGCATAACATAAGTAATTCTAGGCTAATAACCGGTTTAAGAACACATAACGTTTTCAAAAACGAATATCACGGTTAGTAGAGGCCGATCTTCGGATCGGGCGAGAGGGGGTGCTCATAGCTGACCTTCCCCAATCGTACCCTAGCTCCCGAGCCGAGGCAACTCTGGTGATGACGGACATGTGGCCTTCGGCACCGAGTCAGGGTTCCTAAATTCTCCCATAAAAAATATTTAGGTGGCGACTCTGTATCTGGCAAAGCAGTCCATGTTTGGCACTTCTTCCTAAAATCTGTCTCTCAAAACGATTTTCCAGATTTGGACTCTTTGGTTCAAGATTAAGAACCGTGACACAAATCGAGTCCGAACTGTAGTAGCGGGGTCCCTCGCGGGCGCATGCTACAGTATGATATACGGTCTTCCAACGCCACATACCGTGCATGCAATCCATTCATCCCCCCACGAGCAACGCGCAACAACGAAACAGCCCCACCAAGCGCCGAGCATTATCTTCAACGATTCCGATCTTATCAGCATAACACTCCCCCATATTGATCCATTGGTTATTGAACTACACGTGAACCGATTTACCGTTGAACGCGTCTCATTGACTAGGGGAGCACTTCAGAGGTCATGTATTACGAGACCTTCATCAAACTCGGCTTCAACGAATCAGACCTGTCTCGGCTCCTCATCCATTGTTCGGCTTCAACGCGAATCCGGAGTATCTGTTGGGAAAAATCACGTTACCCGTTCGGGCGGGCTCCAAACGGTGGAAGTGGAATTCCTGGTCGTCAAGCTCCCTTCGCCGTATAACCTTATTATGGAGCGGACTTGGTTGCATACTATTCGGGCCGTACCAAGCATCTATCATCAGCTGCTACGCTTCCCGACCGAAACACGGCGTTGAGCAAATCCAGGGTTCCTGGCAATCTGCACAAGCATGCTATCTCCTTTCTGGAAAGACACTAACAGAGACGCAGGTCAACTCCATTGAAGCGTCAAATCAAGAGTCTCGATGAAGTCGGACGGCTTCATGATAAGAAGCCACGGAAACTGTAGGCGATACCGGTAGTAGCTTCTCAAGACGTCTGATCAACGCATCCAGCTGCGCCGCTGCACACCGATAAAGTTGCCCTTAAAGGTATTTTTGGACGATAGAAGGCTGGTTGATGGAGAATTAGGCACGAGTTCTATCATAAAACCTGACTTGTGGGAATGATATTGGTTCTAAGCGGCTCACCATGTAAACTTTCCACTTCTATAATGCAAAGATGTCTGTTTACTAACTCTGCAATCCAGTTCAAAAGCCTCCGGATTCGGAGCGCCCTTCGTGGATGTCACAATTGGCCAAATTAAGTCTCCGGATTCGGAGCCCATCGGCGCATGACGTCCTTGGCCGATAAAGCTTCCGGATTCGGAGCGCTCTTCGTGGAAGTCATGATTGGCCGAACTAAGTCTCCCGATTCGGAGCCCCATCGGCGCATGACGTCCTTGGGCCGATAAAGCCTCCGGATTCGGAGCGCCCTTCGTGGATGTCACGATTGGCCAAATCAAGTCTCCGGATTCGGAGCGCCCTTCGTAGATGTCACGATTGGCTGAATTAAGTCTCCGGATTCGGAGCCCCATCGGCGCATGGCATCCTTGGGCCGATAAAGCCTCCGAATTCGGAGCGCCTTCGTGGATGTCACGATTGGCCGAATTAAGTCTCGGATTCGGAGCCCCATCGGTGCATGACATCCTGGGGCCGATAAAGCCTCCGGATTCAGAGCGCCCTTCGTGGATGTCACAATTGGCCGAATTAAGTCTCCCGATTCGGAGCCCCATCGGTGCATGACGTCCTTGGGCTGATAAAGTCTCCGGATTCAGAGTGCCCTTCGTGGATGTCACGATTGGCCGAATTAAGTCTCCGGATTCGGAGCCCCATCGGCGCGTGACGTCCTTAGGCCGATAAAGTCTCTGAATTCGAAGCGCCCTTCGTGGATGTCACGATTGGCCGAATTAAGTCTCCGGATTCAGAGCCCCATCGGCGCATGACGTCCTTAGGCTGATAAAGCCTCCGGATTCGGAGCGCCCTTCATGGATGTCACGATTGGCCAAATCAAGTCTCCGAATTCGGAGCACCCTTCGTGGATGTTACGATTGGCCGAATTAAGTCTCTGGATTCGGAGCCCCATCGGTGCATGACGTCCTTGGGCCGATAAAGCCTCCGGATTTGGAGCCCCCTTCGTGGATGTCATGATTGGCCGAATTAAGTCTCCGGATTCGGAGCCCCATCGGCGCATGGCGTCCTTGGGCGGATAAAGCCTCCATATTCGGAGCCCCATCGGTGCATGGCGTCTTTGGGCCGATAAAGCCTCCCGATTCGGAGCGCCCTTCTAAAATGAAAACATTTACACATCTAAGCAGGGATATGTAGGATGAAACTAGTACAATCACATGAACAAGACAAAAGTGCCAGCATTCAAAGTAAGATGCTCAAATTAAACATACAAAAGTTCAGAACGCGATAAATTTTGGAATGAAAAATTTTATTTAATTAAACGGTAATTACAAAAAACCCCATCCGCATTCGAAGCATTACAACATCTATTCTCATACGACATCACGCTGTACAAGCGGCAGCACCAAATCAATGCCCGCTAATCAGAGGGCACCCCGCAACTTGAAAATGCTTTGATCTGACCGCGCTCAGTTCACGATTCACCCAAACGAGATAATCGCCCTTGAGGCGGAAACCTTTGGCACCATAGACATAGTCAAGGCCAAGATCCAAGACAAGAAAGGAATTCACCACGAAGCAGTAATACTCAACGGCCGCGGAGCTACGTCGGCCCATTTCTTGGTCGCGGTTGCGGACACTTTGCCATCCCTGTTTCTCCTTTTGAGGTGATCTGCTTTGACGACTTAAAGGCTGATGTTTCTTGAGCCCCTGCCTCTCGTGCGAATGTCTTTCCCCGCTGCAATTCATCGCAATATCAGACTCAACCAGAGACCGAGCTTCTTCCCTGCTGAAGAAAACCTTCATTCGACAATCACACTTACATAACCCTACATACAAAAATCGTTCTAAAACGAGTCTGTGCACAGAAAGCGAAATCACTGGAGCGACAAATCCGAGGCTATTTCATTAACTAAATGATGGACGCCAAGCGACATTTGCCGCAGCCACTTCATGCACTATTTTCGGCCTTGTTAAACGGCCTAAATTATATAAACGGCAATTATGGGCGAATGCTTTGAAGTCCATGTACTGGCTGGGGTAAGGGCAGATTTATTAATCTAACCGGCCGAGCATCTTGGCCCCATGCCGATCAATCGTGCCACAGCCACTTCATGCACTAATTTCTACCTTATTAAAATGGCCTAATTATATAAACAGAAATTATAGATGGGCCGACTGTCTTCGGAGTCGGAGCCCCATCGGGCATGATGCCTTCAGGCCGAAATGGCCTCCGCAGAAAATACACATGTGCCGAATAAATTTTTCAACGGAGCAAAGTTGGAATAAAATGAGTACTAATATAAATAACAAGTACGCTACAGATTGAGAACTAAGAATTTTATTAAATTCGGCGAATAAATACATAATTTCACTTTCAATCTACGTAGGCATTACAAGGATTTCTTGGATTCGGCAACTTCTTCGCATCCGCTCTTCTCAATTTTGAATGCTGAGAAGGAAAAATCATTCTGTTGATACAACGGAAACGCCGAATCCAACCTCCCGATTGGAGACTCGTAGCTTGCTGAAGCGCCTTGATCCAACCGTGCCTAAATCCACAATTTTCACATCGGCAAACTTCTTCGGCGAGTTTCTCCTTGGTCTTCTGAATTCCGACCTTTCGGCCGTTATGGAAGCCTTTTATCATAGGTCGTACCCTCGCAATGTCGATCGCGAACATGCTAGTCGTATTACGATCGGTGATCGCATCGCTAATTAGCCTGAGTAACCCTCTCTTCAACAACCAGATTAGGGTGGCTGGTTGATTGGGGCCCGCCAGACTTGATTTTCCTTAGCTCGCGCTCGGCCTCTCGGTGTGAGCTTCTAACTTCCGAATGCGTTCATCTCTCTATTCTATGTCTGACGAGCAGCGCGGAACGCATGCCGATCTCATAAGCCATGTACAGTCCCCTCACTGCCCCGTGAACGCCTTCACGAAACACTTCGAAATCCTGTCGCCACTCCATCGACTGCTGAACTTCGGGCCGGGAAGAATTGTCGAGCGAACTCGACTGCCACATTCAAATCTCGAATGATCGAGTCCGCCTCTGTCATTGGTCTAGTACTCACGAAGAACTGCAAAACTCAATGGGCGAGGAGTCGCGTCAGGTTGCCTCCAAAACCAAGCTGAGGAGACTTATGCTGTGGCTGTTTGTCCCTCCTGGGCGACCTACTCGACGACGAGGAGATTGGCGCCTCTCCCGATCCCTCAAAGTCTACTGCCCGTGCGTGAAGGTTCACTGCTTCGACTCATAGCTCCTCCCAGCTCAGCTAGAGTCTTTGCTTCGCCTCTGTTGTTGAAGAAAGTTTTATTTGACATTTGCACTTGTTCATCTTCCTCAAATAGCTGGACTAAAATGCTGATAAGCACATAAATAGGACTCATTCACGAAGTACACGCCCATTTATTCCCTACGGGGGCAGCACCTCCAGGCAATCCCCTTAATGTTGAAGTGCCAACTCCCCGCGCCGAACGAATCATATGCCCCAATCGCATCTATTCGGTGTTCTATGATCTTGAACTCGCTGGGGCAAGGGCAGATTTATCAATCTAGTCGGCGTAAGTGCCCCAGCCGTTCCCCGAATCGATGCCTCAACACAAGGTTCTTATGGACATGTTATTCGGCGTTCTACGATCTTGAACTCGCTGGGGAAGGCAGTTCATCAATCTAGTCGGTCTTAAGTGCCCAGCCATTCTGAAATCGATGCCTCAACACAAGGTTCTTATGGACATGTTATTCGGCGTTCTACGATCTTGAACTCGCTAAGAGCAAGGGCAAATTCATCAATCTAGTCGGCTTAAGTGCCCCAGCCGTTCCCGAATCGATGCCTCAACACAAGGTTCTTATGGGCGTGTTATTCGGCGTTCTAACGATCTTTGAACTCACTGGGGCAAGGGCAGATTCATTGTTTTAATCAGATCGCTAAGCTCAGTCGGTTTTGTAAGTCTGTCGTCTCACGTAGTCTTGGAATTTTGTCTAACCACTAATTCTCCGAATTATTTACTCATACAACAAACAATACGAGAAATATCTTGGAAGCATATGAAATTTTCATTCATAATTTGGGCGCTAACAGCAGACATTTTACATATGAAAATCCAACACATATGAAAATCTACTAAACAAAAACAGACATTGAAATCGAAAAAAAAGCTAACAAAACTAGAATGTCTCCCAAATCAAGTCTCAGGTCAGACTCAAGCGACTCAATGTCCACTTGCTCGTAGGGAATTGGCGTGGCCAATGTAACTCCAGGGGCAGCAAGGGCTATGAGCCAGCCATGTTTGAACCCCCGATTCTCGAACTTGGGGACTTCTTCTACATAGTCCTTAAAGGCAGAGCTCTTCCTAGCCTCGAACGTCGCCGAAGACTCAGAGTCGGCTTTCTCCTTAGCTTGCTTCAACTCTCCAAACTCGGCCTCCAGCTTGGCAAGCGCCTCCTTGGCTAACTTGAGGCACCTCCTTGCCCGCATTTGCCCTCTCCTCGGCATCAAGCCCTAAGTTGATCAGCAGTTTTAGCCCTTTCGTTCTCAGCCTCGGCTCGCGCGCTTTCAATCGCGGCTCTCATTGCCTCGAACTCCGCCCTGCTCCTTTGACCCTTGACTTCAACTGCAAACGACCAATCCTTTCAACAGCGTCATGCTGGCGGCGGCCCAATTCTGCGATCCTTCTAACCGTCTGCAAAACAAAGGATCGTCATATGCCAAAAAAATCAAATGCAAACCAAACCAAAGATTCAGTCACGTACCAAAAAAGCGACTAGGTGGCTAATGTTATTGTCCCCAAATCCGGCTCAGCACGAAACGTCACCTTGTCAGCCGGCAGGCAAAGCAAATGTATGAATGCACGCATGCATTGCATAAGGTATGCTAATTTTAAATGTGCCCTAATCTACCATCATAAGCAGGTAAATAAAAGGGAAGAAAGACGTGGGATTGGAAGACATACACACACTCACCCACACTTATTACAGATTTGCCCTCGCGCGGAGGAACCAAATAAATATTATAGTCTGAATAACAAATAAATTAATTATTACAGAATTTCTACTTAATTAATAGAACGAATGCAAAATGAAGGAGAGAGATGGCCACAGCCTCCGCCTCGAGATACGCGAATGATGCATGCTCAAACCCGCCTTGCCCGGAAAGTCTGTACCATTCCAAGGCTGTCTCTGTTTACACTGCCCTATCTCTCTGAAAAATTCCAAAGTGCTGGGACAGGTTTATTGCATACTGCAGAGGACCACCGGCTGGGGAAAATTCCCACCGGCAGTGCATAATTTCCACTGGCTGCTTCTGAATTTATCGGCCATTCACCAAAGGCTGGTCGGCACTGAATTCTGCCGGTCGGCAGAAACTTCCTACAGGAGACAGTTTTGACAGCAACAGAGAACAGACAGTATATGGCATGGGATTTCAGGCACATGTGAGCATGGTCATGTTTCCCATCATGCTTTGAACTCAGGGAAGCATGGCCCTCGATACTCGAGCCATCAATGGTGCATGATAGCCCAAGAGATCAAGCTTGCCACTTGATGTAAAAATGCATGCAATCACACAAATGAGGACCAAGACTTTATCATGTCGAAATCAAAGGCCCCGGTGACCGAGAGTTAAGGCACATTACATCACTTATAGTATGAACGCCCCTTAACCCTCACACTTGGTTTGACACCCCAAACCAAGTAATGCAATGCATGTTATGCAAACATGGCTCAAAATGCAACATGATATCAAGATACAAGGCATACTAAGTGTCATGCAACTAGTATGGCAAGTATGCAATGTTAGGCATACAAGATGCAAATGCAATGTAAATATGGACAATTTAAGCAATAGAATAATCATGCTACAATACCTAATGAAGCAACCATGCAACAAACGTGAACAAAGCATGCAATGGTGGCTTAAAATGGTAAAGGGGCAGACCTTAACCCACCTCAAAACAGTGGCCAAAAGTGTCCAAAAGGTGGACCAATACTCATGCCAACAAGCAAGCCAATGGTCTTAAGGTTAAGGCACAAAAAGGAGGCACTTCACTCCCACCAACATGACCACTCATGGCATGACTTGGACAAGCCAAAACAGAATTTTAACATGCAAAAAGGGACTCCAAAACCTCCCAATATGACAGCTTAGGTGGCTCCCATGAAATGCACCCACCAAAACTCATTTCTAGGCATAAAAGGGTACACCCTAAGAGCATGGAAGAGGTCACAAATGCAAGCATACAAGCATGATTTATGGGCTGAAATATGACCCTAAATGATGGTAAATCATGAGGATGGCCTAAGCTATGCATGTTGGAGGTCAATATGCTCAAGGCTTACAAGCCAAAACACAAAGAGGTGACACCAAACAAGGCAAGCATGACTGAAATAAATGGCCAACAGACCTTAAACATGGTAAAATAATGCCAACACCTTCATGGAACCAAGCCAACACATGCAAGAATTATGGCCTAAACACAAGATACAATTCTAGGCCAAATGGAGGAGTGTAAAGCAAGTATATTAAGCATGCAAATGAGTACAAATCCGGCCAAAAACAGAGATCATATATGACCCAAAACACCCAAAAAACTTCTGAAATGAGGCCAACATTGATCAAGCATGCATGTTACCCTTTTAAGCCAAAATGCAAGGAAACAAGACAATGAAGGGAGAGGGGTGTCCCTCCCCTATGCAAGACTCCAAACCACCTTTCTCACCACTGAAAATCCACTGGTTTTTAGTGGTGAGAAGACCAAAACACTTAAGCAAACAAGGCCTTACCAAAGAGGCTTGCTACTCTAT